AACATCCGCCCTAAAAACCCTCTTAATCATACTATACTGCACGCTAGGAGACAATACTTACGCAATATGGGTAACTAGGCATACAGCAAGCACAACACACACGTAAGCAGCCCAATGAGTCACCTACGGTGTCGTCACGCAGAAACACTTGAGTGCATGTTTCCAAACCCTTGAAGATACATACAGCGCGCCTTCCGCTGTGTCGAGAAGCTGGCGTTGGCCGCGGCGCAGTGATGCACTAGCGCCCCTCGTTCTACCGCCGGGACCGGTTCCTAGGTGTGACGCAGTTGAGACTATATATATAAAAAGTCGGCGCCTGCATGTGTCCGTTTGTGCGTACATTTTTTATTTATTTATATTATGATTGATTACGATAATTTGACACTGAAGTGGTTTGCGAGTTACCTCTCTGGCCGTACCCAATATATCAGTGTTAATAATGAAGACGGTACTAATTCCATATCCTCGTCGATGCCTGTTACAAGGGGAATCCCGCAAGGATCAATCCTTGGTCCAGTCCTTTTTATTATGTATAGTGCAGACATTATTAAATCTATTGTAAACTGTGATTACCATATATATGCAGACGACATTCAATTATATAAATAATTTAAGCCTAGTTCCACAGTAGTGGCCGTAGCCGAATTGAACGATGATTTATGTCGAATAGCCCACTGGTGTGAATCAAATAGTCTGGTTTTAAACTCTAGTAAATCCAAGTTCATGTTATTGGGTACGCGGAGCCAAATAGACCGCATTCAGAGTCAGAATCCTCAAGTTTCTGTAAGGGGTGACAACTTGGAACGTGTGTTTGAAGCCCGTAATTTGGGTCTTCTAATGGATGAACGGTTGCATTTTGAAGGACATGTACTCGAAACTATGCGCAGCTGTTTCTATAGAGTAAAGGTACTTTATAAAATCCGCAACTTTCTTAGTGTAGACATGCGAATTAAGATGTGCGATGCACTAATTCTATCAAAATTAAATTATGCGAGCACAGTAATGGGCGGATGTCTCCTAACCCGGACGAAGAAAGTGATTCAGCGGGTCCAGAATGCCTGTGCACGTTTCTGTTTCCCTGTTCCCCGTCGATCTCACATTACCCCGTTCTTAAATAAATTCAACCTCATGAACATGGAGGCGCGACGTAAGTTACATTTTGCAAGTTTGCTTTTCGGAGTAATAAAGAATCGAGAGCCTTCTTACCTCTACGAAAAGCTTACGATTTCTCAACAGAATGTGCGATTTGCAGTTCGTCTTATGTGTCCTTCCCACCGCACGACTGCCTTTCGTGGCAGTTTCCGATTTGCTGTCACAAAATGTTGGAACGATATACCACCACCAATACGAAATTCCAAATCTGTTGCCTCTTTTAAATTAGCCTATAAGAAGTTTTTATTATCAACTCAATTATAATCTCATTACATAAGGTAGTCGTGCGTTGCTTACAAAGTTCTTAAAAAGTGATCAGAGCCAATTTGTACAATGTGTTAACACTAATCACCTCACTTACACTACATATACTTACCTCACTTACACTACGTATACTCACCTCACTTACACTACATTATAATCACATTTTTGGTATTTATTTCATTTTTATTATTATGTATCTATGTTAGGATTAGTTTATGGTTTTGTTTAATATTGTCAGTTTTGATTTATATTTGTAATTAAGTTTTATACCTAATCTTTATATTTCTTTTTTGTTTTATTTTATCTTACCGCCTGCTTGGACGAGGCGCCACCTTTTTTTTGTCCATTTATGGTGCCACTGAAAACCAGCGTAATGAGGCATTCTTCAACGTCTCTTTACACAAAGCTGAGTGTTGACCGTTTTGGTAACATATAATGTATGATTGTGTTTGTTTTGTATTATTATGGAAATCCATAGCAATTTGAAGAATCCAAAGAAAATGTGGGATATTATTAATAGATTATCTGGAAGGATTGTACAGGTCATTGATGATGTACTAATTAAACACTTCCGTATGAAAGCTAAAGATTTATCTAATAAATTTGCAGAGGATTTTGAAAGTAATGTAAAAAACCTAGTTGACTCCTGCTCTTCACCAATGCTTGACGAGATGTCTTATATAAATACTCCAAACGTTTCATTAAAATTAAATAAAATAAATGAACAAGTATTAGCAAAGATAATTGACGGTTTAAATTCCAATAAGAGTGTAAGAAGGTATTGACAAAATAAGGGCAAAAGATATTAAATACATTGCCTCGGACATAGCACCTGTCTTAACACATTTAATTAACAGGTGTATAACAACTTCCACTTATCCTGACAGATTGAAAATAGGTGTTGTTAGACCTATACATAAAAAGGGTAGCTATACTGATACTAACAACTACAGGCCGATTACAATCTTATCATGTATTGACAAGATAATAGAAAAATATATAGGGAGGGAAATTAATGATTTCTTGTCAAAAAATCGAGTCATTAATCAGCATCAATTCGGATTTCAGAAGAATAAAAGTACAGTAAAACTACTGTCTTTGTTTTCAGAGGAGGTAAATGGCCATTTAAATGATAAAAAGCATGTGCTTACAATTATGGTAGACTTTAGCAAGGCATTTGATGTGTTAAATTATGAAGTATTATATAAAAAAATGATGCAGAATGGTATACAGGGCCCACTGCTGGACTGGTTTAAAAATTATCACCATAAAAGATTTAACACTGTCACTATAAACGGTGTTCATAGTGACTTAATTCCTACCGTATGCGGAACAGCACAAGGCTCAATTTTGGGGCCTACTGAGTATCTTATTTATGTCAACGATATGTGTAACATATTCAGGGAGAGCTCTGTATACCAGTTCGCTGATGATACTTGCTTGATAACTGCACACCGAGATATATAAGTCGCCCAATGTATGATGCAGGACGAATTTAATAAGCTATGTAAATGGGCACACGATCTGGGTTTGTCTATTAATTTTCAAAAAACCAAACTTTTATATATTCACTCACCATACCTTAAATGTAAACATGTACCACAGGTAGTGGCTCATGACCATAATTGCATGCATTCTCGGTATATTAGTTGTCACTGTAAACCATTAGAATTAGTAAAGGAACATACCTATCTCGGATTAAAAATTGACCATAAATTTAATTGGGGTCCCCATGTCAAATATGTATGTAATAAACTAAGGGCAATACTTGCTAAGTTATGTATCCTTAAGCAAAAACTTCCTTATAATACATTAAGATTATTACCTATATATGGCACTAGCAGACTCTATAATTAATTATGGTATTTCCAGCTATGGACGTACATACAAAACTTTTCTTTTAAACATTTATAATCTGCAAATAAGGTTGTTAAAGACCATAGTACCTCTGAGGATTAAATTTAAGTATAAAGATAATTATGACCAACTATTTCGGTATTGCAATGTAATGAGTGTATTAGACAAAGTTGATTTTGCAATTATATCAGAAAATTGTGAAAATATTAAGTCACTGAAAACCAAAGTAAGACCGGATTGTTTGCGAACTTTATCACATCTTCCTATCTATGAAGTTCCAAATTGTAATAATTTTTATGGTGAGAGAGTTTGGATGTGTAAACTCCCGCGAATATTAAACAACCTACCAAGGTTCCTTGTGGATTTGTTAGATAATAGAAAGCCCGTGCAAGTAAAGAACATTCTAAAAAAATTTTATACAACGGACAAATACAAATAAGAATGATAAGAATGATTTATATACAACCTAACCATTAAACGCAACTACATTATTAATAGGTTATATAATCTTTAATTTTAAGATTCAACCGTAAACTAATATCATTTATGTATTTTTTTTTATTGAAATAAACAGTTTAAATTTTAAATTTTAATTTTTAAAAAAAATTTTTTTTTTATTTATTGTAAAATGTTGCCAAATAAATTATTTTTCTTTCTTTCTTTCTTTCTTCATTTAATATAAAATGGTATAAATTTATAAAAACAATTATGAAATATTTATGAAACCGTTTACATAATGTCAGTAGCTCGTTACAGCTACATTATTAAAAAAAAATAAAGGATTGGACTTTATATCATCAACCAAGGTTTTTTTTCAATAACGTAACGATGACTCCTACTAGCGCAATCGCTACAATAAGAAAAACCCAAATTAATTGTCCAGTATCAAATGCGTTATCATCGGAGGACAGAGGATGGAGGACGTTCACCTGAAAAAAAGGGAATACACAATTTAATAACTGAATAGCTGCATGAATAGATGACTCTTACAGTAAAAGAAGAGTAGAAGACAAACTGACCGTAGCATTGATCCAGTCACTATAACTGGCGACTTTCGTGGTGACGCCAGGGTAGTTCGGGTCTCCGCAGCTAACTCCCCAGGACGTCACACCTACCACGACGCTGCCGTGATATACTAAAGGACCTCCGCTATCTCCATTGCAGGCATCGGCACCTGATAACATTTTTAATGCAACAATTAGTTTAAAAAAACAACAAAAGGCAAAAACACACGGCGTTAAAGCCGAAAAAACCTATTACAAAAATTTGAAATAGAAAATGAAATAGGCTTTATTTGACATGCAATATACATAAAGAAGAATGGCGACATCTCGTGTTTTTGACGACGTGCATTAAAGATACCTATAGATACTTGTGATTCATTATAAAAGCATCAAAAAAGGTAATTGAGTACAGCCTGTAGAAGCTGGGGTTACAAAGTTCATATAGGTTATGTTTATTACATTGTCATGTATTTTGCTTCAGATGTTTATTCGTAGTAGCAGAAAACAACAAGTTTTCAGTTTTTTCCCAAAAATAATAAAGAACTTGCTCATATTCCCAAATCTGCCAAACTCTGCTACATTTAACACAACGTTAACATGTTCTGCCGCAATGAAAATAAATAAAAATGAAATCTGCCACAAATGGTCACACTGTTCTCAACTTCAATGTGACATTGATATTGGCAAGAGGCCTCTTGTCAAAACGTTCCTTTACTCACTTTCTTATCTCTCATTTCAATATTGTCTAAACATTTTTGTCACATTGTGTTTCATTTTTTACTGTATGTCATTACTGTTTAATTGATTATTTGATTAGGTATTTTATAGCTATAATATTTTATGTGTGTGCTATATAATAACTAATACTTTAGGTAGGCAAATATTCAATCATGTTTAAAATGAAACGTACGTACACGAACGTTACCTAATCTATGGTCGAACAGAAACAATTGCGTTATGTTCTTGCATTTATCTAAAATCCATTGCTTACAATTTCTTTATTCCCGACTTCCAAAAATTTACAAAAATATATTGATAATCAGGCACAAACTAAAACGTAAAATAATACTAGCACAGTCCACACACAGTTCACAGTGATTTCATAATTATTGGATTAGGTTTCGCCATGCTTCTTTCAAACAACAAAAAATAATAAAAAGAAATTAAAGTTAAAATAAAAAAAAAGAAGCACATCAATAGGGTCCATGACTTAGCATTTGAGAACTATGCTAATTACATAGCCCTCGCTGTTATTCTGTCATGGCCCGTCATAAATTAGAACACCACAATTCAAATAATATATAAATTGTAGAGTAAAGCCATAGTAAAGCGGAAAGAATGTCATTTTAATTTAATTCATGTGAGTTAAATTGCGCTTTTTTTCTTCTTATTACTTTAGAGACAGAGCGGACAGGGAGCGAGCGTAAGTAAAATTGAGAATGTTGTCTGGATTCAAACTTTAAATTTTTTTTACATCCTTCGATCGGATTCCAACCAACGTCTAGCAAACCGTGCCAGACGCTATGCCAACTAAGCTACGGAACGGGCCAGCGGACCTCACGAATTGTTCTATGTGCTTGTTGTCGGATCTTTTGTATTTGGTTTTTTCAACGACTTTTTAGCCGTAGCGTCATCTATGAGAAATCTATGAAATTATTTCGTCACTCAGTTCGGTAACTTTACAGCTACCAGCCCTGGCTAGACTTGTCGCTATTAATTGTATTTAAATTTATATTCAATTGATATTCAATTATGAAATAACTCCACTAGTTTGTTATAATTATTAATACAAAAATTGAACACTACGAAAAAAACCCTATTGAGATTTTTATTAATTTACTAAATGTTATTGGAATAAATTCAACAGATAAAATTATTAATATTCGATGTTTATGGTGATTGTGGTGGTATTGCATTGAATTATTGTTTTTCTAACAGAATCATATGTTAGAAATGTAAAGAGTCAGTCAGGCTGAAAATCAGTACCGCGTGGCACACGGCCACAAGGTTAAACTTAGCCTGTTCCTTCCACGCACTGTTGTTGTTCCGCTAATACTAGTTCCGATTTGTGGCTCAGTTAGTAGAGCCATGGCACTGCTGGCATAGGACTGTCAGGTCCGTCAGGAAGTTTCTTTGCATTCGATCTTTGTATGAATAATTATAGGCAACACAATGCATTGTTGTGGTTTAAAAGATAATTTATGTTAAAACAAAACGCAGTTGTTGGCTACCACACAGTTCAGACATCGACTCCTCCACGTACATATACACTCACCTGATTGACCTGCACACAGCATTCTCTGAGTGACGCGAAAGGTATTTTCAGGATGTGTTTGGTATTTTCGCATGCAGACGTCGTTGTTAATCTTGCTAACTGACACCTCCATCAGAACCGATGACTTTCCGTGCTAGAATATTTAAAATTGGGATTAACAATGAAGTACTTCTTCTTCTTCTTTAGGTGCCATCTCCTATCAGAGATCGGCACTCATTAGGGTTATAGTTGATTGCAGAGTAGATGGCTTAATTTTAGAAATGCGTTACGTGCTTGTTATATCCGACATTTGACCTCCACGCTATGATCACAATGAAGTACAAAGTGACTTTGTATCTCCCAAGCCTTAACCACAAAATTGTCAGATTTGAATTGTTATTTAGTTAGAAATAATTACAACCTTATGACGAAGTTACTAAGTATGCAAATGCAAATTTTAGCTAATCTTTTAAGCAAGCTTCCTTCTTATGGGCGTTTCACTGATCTTTGTAATTGGATCTCGGATTTCTTGAGCGATCTTCCGAACATCGGACTATTGATGCTGTAGTTCCTCAGGGTGCCGTACTGTCAGCCATTCTAAATCTGCTACATATCAACGATATACTAGTTCCAGGTGGCTTTGGGTATGCTGATGACAGCATAGATGTAGACATTGTATTCTACAGGATATAGCACGGAGAGTGGACTTGCACTATTTATTGCGCCCTCACCTTTCAATAATCAGTGGACTAGACATAGGCTGTGGTTTCAACCCTACATATGTTGTGGATATTTCAAAAATTCTCACGAAGCATTACGCTTCCACATATATAATGGCGAACGGCTATGAAATGGAAGTCCCTGCCTATACAAAAAATATTGTGTATAGGCAATGCACTGAAAGGGTATAATAACCTAAGGCATTTTCACGGTGAGAGTATAAGAATAGGCTTTATTTAGGTGTGTATGCTTCATCGTCGACCGCATCGTCGACTTTCCGTCAGGTGAATTGGAGGTCAAATGCTCAGTTTGTCTAACATAAAAAAAAAGGATTTTTTCTAACCAGTAAATGTTATTGTGTCGATAAGTGTTGTGAATCCCTAAATTACCTTTGTTAGTCCCCATCCCAAGTATGTTAACGAAGAGTTGTCAGCGATGGTATTGTCCTGAAATTTTCAGAGAATTTAAATGAGTCATGTTTCATTGTCGACACGTCCCCTATTCCCATTATTACGGACGACCAGTGAACTGGGTCAGTCAGACTGAACACTGGATGGCGATTGGCGCGTATCGCCTGATAATTTGGCACGCTCTTATTGGCCGCATAGATATAATAGCAGAATACGTTATTGAAGACTATAGTGCTGTTAAATAATTGGGAAACTGATTGAATTTCAATTAGGTATGAATGTGGAGGGATATAATGGGAAAGGAATGCCAAAGAAAAGATGGATGGATTGTGTGAAAGATGACATGGATAAGAAAGGTGTAAATACAAAAATGACGGCTGATAGGGGAGAGTGGAAGAAAAATACATGTTGTGCCGACTCTACCTAGCGTGGGATAAGGACAGGAAGAAGAGGAAGACAAACATGCAGACACTGACATATGACCTTACATGGAGCCAAATAAGGAGTTAAACTAATGAATATGACTATAGTGTGCATGGTTTACTTGCGTATTTGTCTACTTGACGCTGATGTGCGTCATGAAAACGACCAGCGCGCCCGTTTCGTGTTTGCTGTATTTGTCGAATAGGCAAACAAGGCAAATACTTTGTCACACATGCTATCTACACATGTTGTTGTTTGCCAAATGTATCAAACACAAATACGAATAGCTATATAAAGTACCACCATAATAAGTTCTTCAATGCTAAATTACCTTATAGGGTATGGTAGCTAAACAAATGCTGACGCTCAGATCGAACGGAGAAGAAGTTTTTAAAAGAGCCACATCATTGTCCTTTGCAGGTGGTTTGTATCCTGTGTGTATTGCCAAATCCGTCACCTCGCGTCTCTGTCCTCCTGTGGGCAAAATCATAATCATATCACAGTGTAAACACAGAACAATAAACACAGTTGTTATAGCCTTTCTCATACATCAAAATTATTAGAAGACATTGACAGATAAAAAAATTTTAAAAGAAATGAAGGAGAAAAAAGCTAACGAAAAAGATATTCAATTTAGTTATCTCACTTGCGAACGTCTTTTGAGAAGACAGTGAGAACCCCTTTCGGAAATAAAGGTAAGGCGTGTCGCTTTCTTCTCTCCCGCTAATTCATTACAGTCCACTTCACCTCCGTCAGACCCTATAGAGACCGTCGTCTCTAGGGTCTGCATGCCCTGGAACTCATCTCGTATATGTTCCGGTGGTTTTTCCGCAAGCAACTCACCCTTAACCCCCGCAACCCAAACCCTAACCCACCATCTAACTCACCCCTAACCCCCCCAACCCAAACCCTAACCACCCCAACCCAAATCCTAACCCACCCAAATCCTAACCCCCCCAACCCAAATCCTAACCCACCCCCTAACCCACGCCCTAACTCACCACCATATGCCCTATAAATTTATCATAATTGTCAGTTTTAATTGTTAATCAAAAACATTGAATAGATTGAAAACTGATTAATTGTTAATTGTAGATATACGCGATTAACAATTGATCAATCGTTAATTGCTGTTTCGCAATTGACAATTAATTAATTGTCAATCTTTAATTGGCAGAACAATTAAATTTTGCCCAACACTGTTGTCGACATCAGTCCGGTTTCATACTAATTAATCATTAGAGTTTCTTTAAAATATGATTTTATTTCCAGACTTAGATAGGTCGCTATTCTAATTTGAAAAACCAAATGAATTTATTTTATTCTAACTTGTAATTAAGACATTTGAAGATGCTAACGAGTTCTTTTATCTATGACTTTGCCATTGTTCTTTCTCACAAATGGCTACGGCTACGGCAAAAAAAATAGTTTAGCTTAAAGTTGTTCATATTTCAATGCTATTAGGAATTTAGGGGAGCTGAGCAGGTAAGCAGGAAAACTCCGAGTTGGTTGATTTGATGACTGCATATATTTCATGTTTATTACCCTACAGAAGTACCTTATATCTAATCGCATATAGTACATACTCTGACTAGTCAACGACATGCATCGACAGTGGTGCCGTGGCGGCGCGGTGGCGCTGCTGAGTAACGCTTGTATACAAAAATATGCGGACACGTCGCGTTCCTATTCAGTGCGGCCAGAGCGCTGCGATGCAGATGGCATGTCGTATGCGCAGCTACAGGAATAATAAGCGAGAAAAGAAAAAATGGCTACGGTAATTAGGTTACGAACACCGAATTGTGAGAATAGCCGTTTTACACTACAAATTAACATAATGTAACCTCAGTACAGAGTACTACAAAAACCGACCCCAAAAGTCATTCATCCCCTAATTTACCACCCTTAGAGGTCTAATATTGTCTTCAAATTTAAATGGGAGCACTTCTGACGTACCCTCTAACGACAAAGTTCTTCAAACTTCCAAGAATCATCAAAATCGGTTTACAAACGGCGGAGTTATCGCGTAACATACATACAAAAAAAACATATAGTCGAATTGAGAACCTCCTCCTTTTTTGAAGTCGGTTAAAAATAAGGCTTTTTCCACGATTTTCGAAGTTTTAAGCGAGATACGATCATAACGTACAGTAAGCGAAAAATTGTGGACTGAGCTCAGGTGTGCGAAACTGCATACTGTTGGCACTCGTGACACGCACGCCTACTAAGCACTCCTATAGATTGTTTATTGTTCTGTGCGGACGAACATGAGATTTGTGACATTGCGTTAATTTACTAAATGATTATCACTAGTAACAGGTTTCTTACCACGGTATAACTTCTTTTTATTTTCCCGATATTTCGGAACGGTTGCACGCTCCATGGTCACGGGTTGACTGGACGGCGGCAGATGACAGCTTTATGGGCAGACATATCTGTCTACCCTCTTGCGCTGTCGACGACTACCTTCATCGCGATTTGTTGTGGCGTTACCATTGTCACTCACTTTTTTCACACAAACCACACTTACTGTATCCACACGCGAAACTGAACTCGAGTTCACCACGAAAGTCTTAAAATCTATATTGCGTTAATTTATTCATGTTTAAAAAAATACCAATTGAATAATTTTAATTATCGCATTATAAAATATGGAAAATGTAGATGTTTTTTTTTAAATATTATTCCGTTAATAAATCTAGAATAATTAGTTACACCACTGATATTAAGTACAAACATTTTTGTACCTGAATTATTGTTCGTGGTTCCGGCAAGCACTGTGTAGTATTTTATATGTATCCGTACATCGTTCCTGGAACAAGAAATAAACAACTTTATCTCTGACGCATCTTCTTTTTCTGGAGAGGTACTTGTTCAGTAGTACATTGATCTAGGTCGACAATTAACTTACTTAAAGAAACAATGTGCTGCAGTAAGAACGATTTGTCTTGTGAGCAGAGACCCACCGCACGCCAGAGCCCCACTTCGGATGATCTGAAAATTACCTACATTAGTTTTAATGAGCATATTTAGTTTTATCAGACCATTGTGATGACGGAAGAAAAAAAGAATGGAAGTGCCCTTAGCAAAAGTGGAAGACCTTACCAAAACTCACACATTCATAATTTGATACACAAAAAATCTTGACAATAATTGATTGTAGTTTCAAATTTAAAAAGAAATAACAAATTCTGGACTGTTAATATAACGTTGGCATATCGTTGAAAGTCCAATATCATCAATACTTTTCTTGCAAGTTACGACCGCGACGTTTTGATTTTATATTGAAATTTCAATCAATGTACTGTCATCTATCGGTTAATAGTTGAACGACGACAAATTCGAGATGTTTACTTAGACGAATTCGAGATGTTTACTTAGTTCTCCAAAAAAGAAGCAACCGTATTGCAGCTATAATTATGTATAAGGATTACTTTCGTTTCTTGTAACAAAAAAGTGTAAAATTACGATAAAGTAAGACTTAATAATGATATGATACACCACAGATATCGTTTAACAAATTAACACATTGTTTGGACAATATCCCTAGTTAGTTAATAGTAAATACCTAAACCATGTGATCTGGCAACAGTTTTTTCCGCTTCTACTCCGGTGACTTGCCTTAAGCATTTTTTATTGCCTAAAAAGCTTTATCTCCATGTAATAAGAGCATAAAGACGGTGTTCGTTTCACGTTTGTTAATGAAGATTTTTATGCAATAACAGCGACTCCCTTAAAAGGTTAACAAGAATCTTTCTTGAATGTACCTATACTTTACAATAAGCGGAGTTTACACGGATTATAGGGCTCGCGGCGAAAATCGACCGTCTAAATGGCAATTCGACTAGGACGCTGATGTCTAGAGTCGCTAGCGCCAAAGTAGCGATGGGATGACTTGTATTTTGTTTTACGTAATTGTTGACTCGAATTGCAACTCGAGTTGACTCGACTCGGTGTCTGACAGCAACGGCGAGTAGTTCTCGCGAGTCGTGAGTAGAACTCGAACGATTCACCGAGTTGGGCACGACCGGCCGGCCGACCGCGACTCGAGCGTGCTCGGAAGGTCGCCGAACCGACTGAGTGGAAACGAGTAGCCGATCCGCTGTATGAATGAAGTATTCTCTTAGCTCGAGTGAACTCGTTGTGGGAGTAACTCAAGTTAATCGAGTTAAATAACTCCACTCGCCCTTTGCTACCCCAAAGTAGACTAGCATTCGACTTTGGCCATGCGGTGACCGGCCGCATGCGGCTGCTGAGTAAAATCCACCGTGCAAATGCTCAGTCGCAAGCGATCGTACAATACAATTTTATCAACCGAAATAAATATGTCACGACTCCTTGTTTATCACACATTATATGCGATATACTGCGCTACGGCACTGGCCGACATTTTGGTAGACAATGAACTAGTCACCTCCGATTTTTATCGACCCGCGTAAATGGGATGGCGTTGCGCTTTCACAGGCGATGCCACATTAGCTTGATTTTTTATAACAAGTTACCTGTACAACAAATGCGTATTTTTCCACAGAAGTTGGCGTCCCCCCGTAGA